ACTGATAAGTTGAAAATGTGCTGACTTGCTTGACGATGGCGTCACCATGACAAATGCGAGCACATTCCGAACTGAAACCTTATTTGCGAAGAATGTGGTTTAAGTCAGTAAAGAAATTGCTGTGTGTACACTGAGGAAAATAGACTTAGGAATTTCATAAGGCTCGACTTATGAACAACACACATGAATTTCATAAGCGTGACTTATGAATAATTGTGGGGTAACATGAGATAGCTCTTATACGCCTTCAACCGTTTCATTTTTTCCAAGTGTTGTTAGACGAGTGGTCAACACACGGGCCCCGTAATCTCAACGTTCGATGGTTCGATTCCAGTGTGTTTCGATTTATTATTTTATGGTCAACATTATTTTTCGTAAGGCAAATTAATGAAATTCATACCGATTTCTTGTGGCTTAAATTAATAAGTGTTTCTTATGGAATTCTTACGATCTTTTGCCTCAGTGTATCAGTAATTTATTTGTTTACATTCTTTTTTGCTGAGTTTTTCAATATTTGTATCTCGGCATTTTGTTGAATAAGTCAGTAGATTCATCAGAAAAGTTGATTTCCTGGTAGTTAATGATTTTTTGATGTGTTCCGTACGATGGCTAAGACTAAAATGAATAAATCATTTTTATACCTGTGATCTTGACTTCTTTAGTTCTTTAGTGGGAATGACACTGATGAAGACTGCACATTATAGTCGAAATACGTTACTCTCATGGATACCAAAATTAATTAAGTGGAATTAAATGGAAGATAATCTTTTTGTTGTTTTATTTAAGCATTCCGCTAACAACCCAATTTCATTACTTCAGGATTAAAATGGTTTTTTTTTTCGATTTTTATTTGGATACTGTGGGTGTGTGGATTGCGTGCCCATGTGCTCTACAACAGACAATGGCAAAGAAAAGGACATCTTTTCTTATTATATATCGTAGAAAATCGCTATTGAACGTGCGAAAACTCAGTCGGAAAAATGTGAAAGAAGTGATATTCTTGGTAAAATATGACGTAAAGGATGTCCACGAAATTATTGGATCACTAACATTTACCCATAACGCATCCTGCATACGATGAAAAATTACCATTTTTTTTTCAAATATTCTTTAACATGTATTGTTTACATCTTGTAAATTTGGTGAGATTCTGTTATGTAGATTTTAAAATTGAACCGAAACCGCTAAGCAACCGTGCAAATATTTTGCTCGCACACCGTGGAAATCCAACATTATCCTACCGTGAACTCGGAAAACGATTCGGGATAGTGCCTACTACTGTTTCAAGAGTGCTAAAACGATTTGATGAACGTTTGAACACAGTCAACCATACATAACACATTGAATATTTTTCAGTATAAAACATCGTCGCTAAAACATTACCGCCATCTGTTGAGTATGCTGTGATGGGCAGTGCGCTGAACAGATGGCGGTAGTGTGTAAACGTCTAACGCAAGGGAATTGACTATGCGCGCCACAGGTGATACTATCAACTAAAAGATTTAAATTGACCGTTAAATGCATGTTCGATGTCTGCCTCTATGTCTGTTTCTCTGGGTTAACCATTGCACGCATTGTCGTTCAGATTAACGGGGGTTCACGGTATAAATAATAAAAAAAAAATATGAAAGATTTTGAACGTTAATAACTCAACTGCCCGTGGTCCAATTTCAATACTTTTATCACCAATCGATCAGAAATATGGCTACGCATTGATAACAATGCTTCTGAATATTGATTTTCAACAAGAAACTATTGAACAACTGGTAAATGTCCAGCATTGTCTAAAAGCGTCGAATTAACTAACAAATCCACCAATTACCTACATGCATATGCTGCTTCCCCAGCACAGTCTTCAGAGAGTAGTAAGTAGACGAAACAAGTCCAAGTGGCATTCGCCTCCGATACTCGGGCGCGTGCGAATAGGGAGGATGGAATTGCGTGATATTTTGCACACTCATCGCCATATTCAGAACCACACGCTCTCAACGACCACAAAAAATGCTCTCCAGAGCATTTAATATGTAATGCATGAAATCCATGTGAATTTCACATAGCTTTCCAAAAAAGTTGACGACAACCTAAAGAAATCGTTTATGGACTTTCGTTCAGTTTTTTCCTGGAAATTTTTGTTAAATAAGCTAGAATTAAATAAAAAAGTTTTTTCCCATACATTTTTTAACCGCTTTACTACCAATACCCAGAGAGCCAAAACATTCAAATTTGAAAGAGAAAATTCACTCTCACGATCTCAATATCTCAACATTCCATGTATTTTGATGACACTTTGTAACATTTGGTGGGAGAGGGAGAATTAAAATTTGAAGTCCCTCCCATTTTGCATATTCTGCATACAAAATTCATAAAAATTCCCTCCCTTTTAACAAGAAAGCCTGCAAGAAAATACTATTTATCAAAAATTTCTAGGAAAAAACTGAACGATAATGAATGATTTCTTTTGACTTATTTTGACCATAATATGCATCCAAAACGTTCCATCCACTTTTCCAAATTTCTAACTTACTATCAATAGAACAGCGCCATCAATGAGAAAAAATAGCCTTGACTTAATGGTGAAAACTATTTTTGTAGTTCTTTAAAAATTCTACTCTAACTTCTGATGTATGAGGAAACCCGAGGTGTGCCGAAAAAATGTGATCCGTGATGCCGTCACTGAATACGCAGCTGCCTACACGTCATCATCATCTTCCAAAGCATGTACTACCATCGGCCCTTTTCAGGACCACCAACGTTTTCCAAAAGAGTTAATTTTCTGAACATGTCCCAACTAAAATTCATATCAAAAGGTTCTTTTCAGGGCAATCATAGTCATTCTAAAGAGAATAAACAGAGAGAACCCCACTGAAATTCATATTCCTACACAAAACACAAGCTGCAGTTAACAAAAATATTTATTATATCATACCACGTAGTCCTACGTCATCATTGCGTACAACCCCATTGGGATGTCCCTTGTAGTTTTTGTTATGTCTTTTCCCGATTCCGATCAAGCTATGTCCTCAACCATGTATATTGCAACAAAGTAGGCAAGCAATATATCATTATCCTTCTACCACTCCGATCGAGCTGTGTTGCAGAGAGAGTTTGTCGTTGTAGTCGTAGAAAGCGTTTTGTCTATATCGTTGGTTGCTTTATGTGTTTGGATTCGCTAATCTCAACACATTCTACTTTTAAATGATTCGAAAAAAAATTATCTTGGGTAAATGCGCTACTTATTGCATATGTATCAATGGTACTAGTTTTTGGCCCTACCTATTTGAATCACAAATTTCATGACTGCCCAACAAACATTGAATGTTGAATAAGAGCTTATTTAGGCAAACACAAGCTTCTTCAGCAAAACAATAGCTTATTCAGTTGATTGTTGGGTGGTACATGTCATAACTGGTCCACTTCCCCTTGATTCTCTATACAAATTATGGGTAGGACATTGCTTTGACTGCCCCTTGCCACTTTTACTTAAGTATTCTGAGTACCTACTGTGGTGCAGGTCTACCTCTGTTGCGATGTCCTGCTGAGTTCCAATCCAGTGCTTGCTTGCAGATTTCGTAGAGTGTGGCCGACCCACCCCGACTTATATTCTCGAATTTCAGTTGATATCGGCTTCTGATGACATCGACGATGGAGCTCAGCATTTGAGATTTAGTTGTGGAAGTGCTTAAAGAATATTAGGTTGAAAGCGTAAAAGTCCAGTACCCAAAAAGAAGAAACATTTACCCATAACGGCTACTAAGGGGTCCATTATAAGTTAACTTTCCTTCGATTTCCAATGCAAGTTGGAAGAAACTGCTGCGATAAATTCCCGAAAAAAAATTTCTTTGCGCTGATAAGTAGCAATGTTAGCAACAAGCGGACCTAACATGATAGAAGTTTCATCAATATTTTCAACAATATTTTTGGTGGGTCATCAATACATGGCTGTTTCTTACTAATTTTGATGGACTATTCTGAGACACATGACAACTTTTATGGTAAAAGGTAAAGTAATGAAATTGGGTTGTTAGCGGAATGCTTAAATAAAACAGCAAAAAAGGGTTACCTTCCATTTAATTCCACTTAATTTATTTTGGTATCCATGACAGATACGTATTTCGACCCAATTTCATAACTTCATTATGATGGCTACCAAGCCTTTAAGATTTTTCTTATTAGAGAGTTGTATAGATTTTTTCTCCTTTACTTTACTTAAATCTTTGGCTTTTATTAGTTAGGTAGGTTCCGATTCTACACATTGTAGTTTCATTTTCATACCTGTGATCTTGACTTTTTTTTACCTAGGAGATGAGTACTTAAGGGGGTTAGATTTTGATAAGTTCTTTAGTGGGAATGACACTGATGAAGACTGCATATTGATAGTGATAGCCTCTTTTTCCCTCAATTTCCGAGGTCACAATTTACCAATAACAACATGCTACAATTAAGTTATACCTTTAGAGGATTATTATATATAAATCGATAAATTGAACTGGTAAATGGTAAAATCTCTTACGATTTTGTATAAAAATTGCTCGAATCTGTAAGGAATTACAACATGAATAGATGCTGTTATGTGATCGTCGGAAGGCTTTTCAAATATGTACTTGTGTAAAATAAATCTTAGCTAATTTCATTCAGTAAATACTATATACAGTAAATACATTCAGCCCTGAAAATTTTCTTATGCGAGATTTGAATGAACCAATTGACTTTTTAGTTGCTTCTACACTACTGGTAATAACTAACATTGGAGTTCTCGTAAGAAATATCTATACATTTGATTTGCAGGTACAGAGGTAATTTAGTGCAAAATTTTGCGAGGGATCAAAAATTTATGGACTGTAATTTTCGTCCCTTATAATGGCACAAACCTGTTGGTGCATATATGTAGCCTGCACACACAATGTTGATTAAAATTAAAATCCAAATTCATGTTCTCCTCTCAATGTTAAAGCAATAAGTTATTAACCTCCTTATCAATATTTTCTAATTCTCCCTTCCAGAAACTGTGTAGCTTCCATGAGTACCCCGGGCGATCCGTCGGCATCCGGTGGAGGACCTGACAGGCCGTGTGGAATCACATCACTGCTACCGATTGGCATGTCGTGTCGTGGGCGTGCCGAAGCCTTTGCCCGTAGTCTACAGTCGCGCCTGCGAACACTCGGCACACAGGTGAGACCTGCTCAGTTGGCAGAAGCTATTGCATCAAGCTAATTCAGCCATTATTACTTTTTCTTTCTCCATCTCCATACTACTGTCCCAAAACTCGACATTCTCACATCTTGATAGAAAATTGCTTGATTGCCTTTCAAATTACCTCAGCTTACCATCACCACCAATACCACCAGCGGTTCCGGTTTAAGCCGAGAACAATCAGCCGATCCATCTACCCAGGCGAATTGATGATCCTTCTTTTACTGTTTCTTTCTTTCTATCCCCGCTCGTGTGAATCGGATCAAACCCACAAATCCTTCCAAAATTGAACAAATTCGTCAAAATTTTGCGCGCATGCTCGCACTGCTATCTATGTTATGTCACCATCTTACCACGCATCTTCTGGGCACTCCCGATACCAATGTTGACGCCCAACAACAACACCAACCGGAACAACCTGACCGACATGGCTCAAACTGTGCGCCTCATCAAATTAACCACCAAATCCACCAAATACCAAACCATTCTCCGGTAGGGATACTACTAACCACAAACTCCAAAAAGTAAAACACTCACATATCATCATAGAGTAGAACACAACTAGCCTCTAGTCGCCATTAATTAGGGTTAAATACTCTTTGCAGGGAAATGCGGACGAGGGCGCCCAGATCATTGATCATCCACACGAGAACGATAACACATGGATATCACAAGACGAAGCGGCGGCAGTGACTCGGTTGCAACCGCTACCAATGGTGGCCAACGAGGCCGATGCGTTCTTCGACTTTGGGCTGGAGAACGAGAGTCCCGGTTCGCCGATTGAAGAGTGTGAATACACTCGGCTAATCGAGACGGCGACAGTGACGCCAGCCGAGGTTGCACCAGAATCCGGCTATGTGTGCGCATCGCCCTGCTCGACGCCCCAGGTCAGCCAGGAAAATAGTCCATCGAGCCAGAGCTCGTCGGACTGCCAGTTCTTCGATCCGGAGAGCTCAGATCAAGAACAGAAATCGATAAGTGGCTGTGATTACTACGACTGTACTACCTCGGATCCATCGTCGGCGTCCAACAGGACGGCGGCGCTGACTACGACAGCATCACATACATCTACCTCAGCAGCAGGGGGTGAAAAAGGAGTCGGAACTGCGACAGTAACAGCGACGGCATCGAGACAAACGAGACGCAAGTCCCAGAACGGTCACCTGCCCAGTGGCCTAAGGGTGGAGGTAACGAACGCCGACAGCGATAGCTGCTCAGAATCCCTACCACCTTCCCAGTCTACCGAATCGCGTTCGCGCGATTCTACCTACACGGGACTGAGTTCGAACAATTCGAACAGTACTCTACAGGACGTCACTATGGAGGGAGAAGAGGTGGACGAGGAGAAACCGGAAGTACCCGAAAGCAGTAGTGAGCTGCGGCAGCCTACACAGGACGAAACAGATCATGGGAAAGTATTATCGAACGGGCATGCAATTATGCCAAAGGGGACAATAACACGCCAAGAGGAAGTTTGCGAAATCGACGTCGACGTACTGCAGTTCATCAATGGAGATGCTGAGGACGAACCTGAAGAGGAGGCACATAGTCCAATAGTCGAGATGACCGAAGTGGAGAAGAAACTACAAGACTGTAGTGTTGATCAAGAGTCAGAAGAGAAGCATGATCACAAGCGGGAAGGAATTTCCTCCGGCGATGAGGACGAAGACTTCGTTAGGCCTCAGCGAATTCGAAGATGTTCGTCACTGAAAACGGGCAAGACTCCACCGGGTACGCCTGGACGGAAAAAGTTTGTTCGATTCGCAGATGTTCTCGGTCTGGATTTGGCCGACGTGAAAACATTCGTCGACGAAGTCCCTAAAATACCAAAACAGGCCTACGAGGATCTGGACTTTTGCCTGGAACCTCCGGCTATTCAGGAAATCAGTTTGGGTCCAAAAGCAGATCGAGTGCTGGTGCCGTTGTTCCAGCAACCAGGTGCTCTCCCATGCTTTCTGGATAGGGTCCGTGAGAAGCAGGTCAATCTGGAAAATGCTGCTGTCACTGATCCAGTGAACCTGACCATCACCGGAACGGTTCGTGTTCGGAACCTCGACTTCCACAAGTCGGTCTACGTGCGCTACAGCACCGACAACTGGCGCAGTTTCTCGGACCTGCAGGCCTGTTACGTGGAAAACTCCTGTGATGGCTTCTCCGATAAGTTCACCTTCACCATCCACGGCAACTCGGTTCAGATAGGGCAGCGTATTGAGATGGCGATACGCTTCCACAGTCGAGGCCAACAATTCTGGGACAGTAACTACAGTACGAACTACGTTTTCCAATGCTTGCCAATCTCCCAGCCGAACCATATCGCCAACTTGACTGTCAAATCGGCCAACCTGGATGCACTACTCAGTCCAGATGAAGCATGGTGCAGAAGCTTCTACTAAAAAAGGGTCCTTCCGTATCCTTCCTTATAAACCCACCCGAAAAGAAATTTTGAAACTAAATCAATAACGAATAGCTGCAGCTATAGAAGGCACGATAAGAAATTACATGATTTTGATCGCCGTCTTGATCCGTTCAGAATGGACATAGTTGGATACTTTGGAATAGCTTTACATTTTACCCCAATTGGACGCAACAAAAAGTTTTAGCGTGTAGTATTACTGTTTTAATTTTTAACGAACCCTTACAACGAACATATTTTCGATCACTCCCTGCCCCCTCTCATGAGAAATCCTCTAATGTTCCGCTTTCCTTGAGACGATCAAGATTGTTTTAGAAATATTGACGAGAGCTTCATCAGAAACAAAAGTATGATCACTTTTATCACTTTGATCAAATTTAGAGGACACGTGTTAGTCGACAGCAACAGCCCTTCTATTAGGTATCTAAATTCAAAAATAGAGATCTGCGAGCATTCTAAGAACGTTATTGGTCAGTGATGAACAATTGTAGTTTTGAGAAGAAAAAAATTGTAATTTAGTTTATTCAAATCATGACTATTAGCTTAGACTTGTAAATCAATTGTAAAGCTGATCAAATAGCACCCTCTAATACTTCATAATAGAGTCGTATGCGTGTTGAATACCAGTCTATATTAATTAACTATACAAACAACAAAACAAGAATGTGAAGAGATTAACATGGATTGGAGACGGACTATGAACACTGTTATGTTTCTGATTTGTATATCAACAAATGAAAAGTTAAATCCTACAGCATGTTCTCGAAGCGTCCAGCGCATAGAGTTATCATTTCTACTGATTTTTTATCTTTCGGAAATGCAGCAAATATTTATGCAGGATAAATAGCAAACAATGTAACGAAAGAGAAAATAATCAAAACCAGACAACAAACAATATAAAGAAGTTTTTACGCACCACTCTCAGTAAAAAAAATAGAAACAGGACATGAATGCTTAACCGTATAGTAAAGGATGAAGGTAACGTTAAAAAAAAGAAAACTAATAACTGGTGTCTTATGAAAGAATTAATTAAATTAAACAAAACAAAAGAATACTATATTTGATTTAAGTACATACACACACACTCATGTATAATATAGAAGTTTACCCAAAGATTAGAGAATAAAGAAACGTTTAAAAAAAGGGATGTTGTTTTTCATGCGCTGACAGTGTACATATTTAGTAGTATTGAACAGTTCCAGGAATAAGACCGAAAAAATTAGAATTATTGAATAGACCTTGTCCGATTTGTATGAAACTTTGCGTAATTGTTTGTAATGGGCAATGATTCATATTAGTGCTAAAATTCGGCCATTTTGAATCATGAAATTTTTGGATTCACTCGGTCTGTTGGTACAGGTAAACCTCGATATAATGTAACTGTCACTTTTGACTTCGATCGTCAATATCTCGCTAAAACAATTGAATCATACACATTAATATTACCAATAGATGGGAGATTATCTCATCTGTTCGATGGTGTTATTACTTTGTTTGTTTGGTCGTTTGCGAGAAATCGGCGATGGAAGTCAAAACGACAATTACGTTATGTAAAATAAAAATAAATTAAATCACCAATTTTCCTCATTTTCCGGGAGATTTTTGCGGTTTTCCACAGGAAAACATGAGGCAAATTTACTCATCGCTGAGTTCCTGCACTTTTTGCTTTTAAGTAAACTAATCTCATTGCCGTGTGCGTTTTTACAAATTTGAGTAAACGGAACACAAATTTGAAACTAACTGAATGGTCGTGCAATATCTGATTCAATGGTCAGTATTCAAAGGTGAGAGCGTGGCGTTCTTAATGAATCGCCCCCAAGTAGAAACGAAAAAGAATAGATATGCAGGCGTTAATTTGAAAGATCAAAACTGGAAAGACACCGGCATTGAGCCTAAATGTATGCTTCTGTAGATCAAATGTAATATGTATATATTTTGTTTCGACGCACCATATTAGTTGCAATCCCTTGCTGTAATTATTTAAGCTTTTATGGATAAATTCCAGGGAACGTACACATTATTCCACCCGTTTTCCGGAAAGATCACGTTTATTATCAAATTTCACTCACTATCCAACACTATCTAAACTATCCTAAAGCCGCATTGACAGCTTAACCTTATGCTTATTCACTTCCACAACAGCACGTTCCTTCCAGATCCGCTCCCAAAACAGAGTCAACGCGCCACGCAGCTCCTCGATCTGTTCTTCGGAAAGCCGCAAAGGCACCATCAGTTCCAGCCGGTACGGATAACTTTGATCCCGATCGTACTTAATCGCTCCTACCATATCGTTCGCCACGAAGCTCTTCAGAACCAGAGGATTCTGCAATAGGCGCACCGATTCTAGTGATTCATTGGTAAAGCTTTGCAAAATTTCAACAAGACTCTTTTGTGTCAGTTTGGCGTTAAATGAGACATCCAGGTGCTTGAGCTTCTCGGCGGTCGTTTTCAATGAAAACACAATCGCACTAAGATCGGCATCGGTTAAGCCGCAGTTGCTCAGATTTAGCGATCGTAGCATGTCGAAGTCATAGGACTGGATGGCTAGGATGAAGGCAGGCTTAAACTCCCTTAATTTCCCTAGGGAATGAAGGTTTAGTTCAGTGATTATTCTCGTGTTCAACTTGGTGAACATATAATCGATGGATTTCTTGTTGAGGTTATTTTCGGAAACATCGAGCACTTGAAGCTGTGATATGTCGAGAGGGGGTGTTGCGAAGGTAAGGTTCGTAATTCCCGTCGAAGTCAGGCGGAGAACTTTGAGCTGTTTTAGTTGCTGGCAAACGCTGGTCAGTACCAGCAAGCTCTGGTCCATAAGCGGATTTCGACTGAGATCCAGCTCAGTCAGATGTGATAAGGCGTTTGCTAGGGGGATGAACCCATCGGTTCCAGTGCCTGCTAGGAGGCCAGATAGATTAGCAATTCCCTTGTGACTGATACAATTCATCGAAAGATTAAGCTTTTCAAGAAGTTTGAAGGAAGGAAGTTTGACGGTGAGCTCCTGGAAGTCGACATCGGTGAGTTGGTTGAATGATAGGTTTAGCTCTCGGACACGACCCTGGTAACCAAGCGCTTGAAATAGAATATTCCACTGGTGGGGCTTGGCGGAGAGGAAATCCCGGCGAAGTGTAAAGTGACCGGTGTTTTCCATGGTGCCCAGCGAATGGAGCAGTTCGGTAAGCATTTCTGAAATGCAGTGGAAGGTATAAGTGAGTTTTGAATACTGAAACAAAGTTTACAAACATAATTCTAGATAGAGCTGGAGTAAGGGCCTAACAGCTTTGGTAAACAATGACTTCTCTTGATGGTTTCTAGGAAGACCTCCCCTACCAGACAGTTATGTAGGTTTGAGTGGGCGTGTCTTGAATTCCTAGAAATCATCGAAATGGCATTGTTTACAAAAGCTGTTAGGCCCTTATTCTAGCTCTGTCTTGAATTCTTCCTTTCATTTACCATGATACTAACCAACATCGCGATGTTTGCAATAATCCTCGTAGAACTGATCCGAACGCAGCTTTTCGAATTCTATGAGGTAGGAATTGATTATGGAATCCGAGCCGCACAGAAGCGTCGTAAGGGGATCGGTATCCATACAAAGGCCACCATCTGGCCGTAGTAGTTTTATAAGTGGTCGTTTTCCATGTTTGCTGGAATGAGAGGACAACTATTGAAATTTACCAACATAAAGAGTATTACACTTTGCACTCACATTCCGTAACGCTTCACCACTTCGTTGATCAGCCATCCGACATTCAATTCCATGATTCTTTCTTCATCGTAACTGACATCGATGAAATCGCCTTCGATGATCACTCGGACCATGTTCGGAGGTAGAATCTTCACCGGTGTTTGCTTTCCAACCATCGACAATGCCCCAGCTTTTACAGGCGTTCTCTGGCTGGTACTACTCTTCGCCGGAGACACCATACTTCTATCCATTTGTCCAATCGTTGGACTGTCTGACCGTGTGGACATATTAAACCCCACCTCCAGCAGCGAAGTCTGATTCCGGTTGAAACTTCCACTCGAACGCTGTCGACGCATCTTTGACTGAGTCGACGGCTTTCGGGAGAAACTCCTCCCGGAAGCGTTCATCAGAATCTGAAGGGCATCGGGACCACTTTCCTCTGATGATGCACGCTCGCTTCGTCTACTTACCACGGTCACCTGTGGTTCATCCGGGTCCTCATCATACTCCAATCCAGTAGAAGTTATTGTCCTGTCGGAAATCGGAAGTGCCTCCCCCGGAGAACGTTCTCGCTCGAAGCTTCGATTCAGTGGCCGAGGATGTTGCTTATTAGGCTCAGTGTAGTCCTTTTCCGAGAGAATTTTCTGTCGTTTTTTATTCGGGCCCAGATCATTGACTAGCCAATCGTCACCTACTTCCGCCTGGCGCATGTAGGCGGCCCGTTTGGCCGGTCCTGGATTAGGATCTTTCAGTGGTGATACGATCTGAGCCCGCATCGTGTTTCCCTTCCGCAGTACTTGAATGGCATTACGGTAGTCGTCTACTCCGGACGATCCACGGGCGGTTTTTTCACGAAAAGACCGTGAAGGACCGGGTTCCGGTTCCATGTCGGATGCCGAATCCGAAACGATATCTGACGGGCGCTTTTGGGCCGAGGTCTTCGGAGTACCTTTGCTGCTTCCGTAACCGGAGCTTTGATTACTGGTGACAGTGCGAACGGTCCGAGTTTCGTCTCGTTCTGAATCGGAATCCGATCGACCATGACGATTTGCACGGCGTCGAGTAGAGCGAGCAGTTCCGGAAGAAGTCGGTTCCACTTCCATCGACTCCGGAACGATGCCAGCTTCCGTTGGCTTGATTCCTGCCTTGTCGAAGCAGCTAATGATGCGATCTCGAATGGTGTTGTAGAAGGCGATATCTTCATGCAGAAGCTTCTTCTGAACGCCTTTAAACCACAGTTCAAGCACGTTCAGAGTCGTATCCCCGGAGTCGGTGCGTTGTGTGCAGTTCGCTCCTCGATTCAACAGGAACTCAACGACTTCTAAATTTCCATTCGAGCATGCATCGTAGAGTGGTGTTATTCCATCACAACTGGTCCCGCCCTTATCATTAATGTGAGCTCCCTTGTCCAAAAGCATCTCCACAATCTCTTTGTGACCGTGAATGCACGATTCGTGTAGCGGAAGCCACCCAGCATGGTCGCGGATGTTAACCGGATGGCCTTGCTCCAGAAGCTTCTGAACCAATAACTTATTCCCAGCAATGCAAGCTTGATGCAATTGAGTTTCGCCTTTGTTGTTCCTCTTGATCTGAAACGACATCCCCCGCTTCCGGGAACTTCTGGCATCCGACTGTTTCTCCACCTGTTTCGAGCGATCTTCATCCGAGTCGGACAGTTCAGACAAATCTACATCGTCCCCGATATCCGGAGTGTTGATGGCAAACTCGATCGACGTCTCCGTTTCGTCCGGCTCGTCTCCCGAATCATCGTCACTTCCGTTACCGTCCTCAATGGCCAGATCGATTCCAAGGTCCTTTGCTTCCTTTTCCAGATTCTCCGCCATCAGATCCATTGAGTGCTTTTTAAGCATGACAATGCATCGCTTGAGGGGAATTCGTTCCATCTTCAAGGACTTCATCTTTTTAGCTTCCTGTCGAACTCGACGGTAGATGTCCTCGGTGTCGAATAAGGACCGTTTCTGAGCTTCGTACACTTCGGCAATGCTCAGCAGTGTGTTGTAAGCTTCCTTCGGAATATCCTGAATCAAATCGTACTCTTTCCACAGGAAAATGAGCGCATCCTCGAACTGCTTATTGTCCTTGTATGTTTGATACAGACTAACGTAGGTCGGAACCAGATCCCTGTCAGCTTCCCCATTCAACTGGGCGCACTCCAGCATCTTCAAGTAGTAATCAATTGCTTTACTGTAGTTCTCCAGCTTGCACGCCCCGTCGCCCATCTTTTCGTACAGAATCTTCTGCTTACCATACTGGCTACTATCGGTCGTAATCAGTTCATCCTCCACGCGGCAGATTGCCACCAAAATTTTGAGTTGCCGTTCGATGTTTTCCGCGTCCGAAACCACCGGCGTCTTCATTCGGAAAGCTTTCTTCAGTGCTTGTTTGGCACTTTGGAAATCTCCCATCCGAATCATCGCGTCCGCCTTGATCAACAGGGTTTCGCACATCTTGGCTGCTTTGTTGCTGAGCCTGGAAGCGACTTCCAGTGCTTCACTCAATATCTTCAACGCCTTGGTGTGATTGCTTTGCTTCGCATTGAACAATAAAGCCGAAGAAATGTAACACTGATGCAACAGCTCCAGCAGATCATTGTTCAGGGCAATCTTGGTCGCTGTATGCATATACTCCAGCGCTGCTTCCAGATGCCCCTGGTGTTCCTTTGTCACTCCCAGATTGAGCAAAGCCCTTGCTTCCATATCAAACCGTTCCAACTTGCCCACTTCCTTCAGCTCCCGACTGAGCTTCAGTCCTTTTTGGAATGCTTTCTCTGCTTCCGTCAGAGGTTCCTTCGCCGCCTCCGTTCCATCACAACTCTGCCCCTTTAGCAAATAAGTTCTCCCGATCGTAATATAAGCCCGCTGCAGTTCTACCTTGTCGTCCTCATTCCGCGCAATGTCCAGGTACACCTTCTCGTACTGCAGGGCCTTCTCAAATTCACCCAAGAGCATAAACATCTCCCCAACCATCCGGTTGGCCCTGCCCACCTCCATAGGCATCTTCAGATTGTGATATGCTTTGGCAACCAGCTTGTACTCGTTCAGCGCCTTCCGGTGTTCGCCACGGTCGCTGTACAGCTCCCCCAACTTCCGACATGTTTCCGCCAGCTGTTGCAAATTGCCCGCTTCGGAGGATTTCTTCTTGCGACGGAGGAGTCCTGCATCGGAATCAGAGTATTATTTATTCATTGATCAAAATTCTGCCGCTACCCGGAACTTACTTTGCTCCTCCAGATCCAAATCCATGTTTTCGAAGCACGATTCTACTCGGGTTCACACATAATTTCAAGCAAACTTTGATTCACACTTGCACTAGTTTATTATACAGTGACTCGAAAAGTTGAAAAAATTGTACATTTCAGTCGAATTTCCAATAGTAAAATTAGCTTTTCCTGAAGCGACCATCTGTAACCGCAGTAGCATCAAGAAAACACTCGAATCCAAATGCCGCGTTTTGTATTTTTGCGTTTGGCGCGGGAGGTTAGCCCTTTCGAAGACATCCAAAAGAGAGTAGGATGCGAGCCGTTTTTATCGTCATCGAGGCATGTCACTGTGCCGCAAACGTGTGTTTCTGATGTTTTGTTATGACTTTAGTCGCAAAACAAGCGGATCGTGGTTCTGTATAGTGATTTTTACTTGAAATTTGTGTGAAATAAAAAATAATAATCAGTGAAAAATAGTGGAACATCGATGGCTTCGGCAATCATTCACACCATCCGGCGGCAGTTGTTTTTTGGTGGAAAAATATCGCGAGATCTGACTCGCTTGTCACAAATTTCAAATCAACCACGCGACCAATTCCTACAAAGCTACCGATTTCATCATCAGTCCGTGCCACTTCTGAACAAAGCCACCATCCGCGACCGAGAAGACGTATCACTGCTGGATGCCAAACAGGACCCGGACGTATTTGGTACGCTTTCCCCTAAGGTAGCGGCACCGGAAGTTCCCGACGAGGGTGATCTACAGGAAGAAAATTTCCTCCAGAATTTACCGGCACGGTCACAGAAACTCAGCACCAAAGAGTATGCCGATTTGATCAAAGGACATCTCAAGAATCATCGCATCAAGGAAGCGATCGATGTGCTGGAGGTGAGGATGAAGGAGGATCGTGTGAAACCGGTCAACTATCTGTTCAACTTGCTGATCGGTGGTTGTGCCAGGGTTGGCTACAGCAAGAAGGCGTTCCAGTTGTACAACAAAATGAAACAGCATGGACTAAAAATTACCGGCGGAACGTACACGTCGTTGTTCAACGCCTGTGCGAATAGCCCTTTCTTGGGAGATGGATTGAGCAAAGCCAACCGACTACGTGAAATTATGATCGAAAAAGGCTACGAACCGAACGAGTCCAACTTCAATGCCATGATCAAAGCCTACGGACGTTGTGGTGATCTGAAAACGGCTTTCCAACTGGTGGACGAGATGATGGCCAAGAAGTTGAACATTCAGACTGACACCTTCAACTTCCTGCTGCAGGCTTGCATTAGCGATAAGGAATTTGGATTCCGACACGCGTTGCTGGTATGGCATAAAATGTATCGTTTAAAAGCCCTGCCTGATATTTACTCGTTCAATTTGCTACTGAGATGCGTTCGGGACTGTGGGCTTGGAGACTTGGAGGCGACGGAGCAAGTCATCGAACAGATTCTGTACCAAAGTCAGTTGAAACCTCCGCAATTGGAGGGATCTTCCCTGCTGGAAAATGGGGCCGACGAGTCTTCCAATGACCTTCAATTGGCCAGTATTAACCAGGAGATTCAACAGGAAGGAGTCCCCAACCTACTATCCCGTCAGCCTCACCTCGGTAGTCTCATAAGTTTAGGCGAAATCAAGAAACCAGAGGATCGTCTTCTACTGCTTGGCGGAGCAACGAGTTTTCTCTGCGAAATGGAACAACTGAAAATTCAACCGGACATTAAAACGATGACTGCGCTGCTGGACACTGTTCCACCGACGACTTCTGCCGAGAAGCAAATTCTGTCCACCATTCGAAAGTTAGGCATCCGTTGTGATATCGACTTCTTCAATATCCTCATCAAGAAACGTTCGATGCGATTCGATTACGACGCCGCCCGGGAGGTACTGACAATGATCAGAACTGCACGACTAGAACCGGACATTGTAACGTACGGAGTACTGGCTCTGGGCTGCCGAACGCAGGATGAAGCACGTGCCTTGCTCAAAGAAATGAGAGATGCTGAGATTAGGTAAGTTCTTTAAAAAGTAATTTTTTGTTCTTCACTTTAATAAAATTCTGCTGATTTTTTCCAGGATCAATATCCAAATCCTGGGAGCCATGCTGCGCCAGGGAACAGCAACGCAAAACTTCCGCTACGTGGCGGATGTACTGGAGATTGTCAAACAGGAACGGTTCAAACCGAACGAAATGTTTCTCAAGCACCTGGACAATTTCAACAAAAAGTGCGAAAAGATGAACAAAGTGTACGACCGAAATTCGCGGAAGGCCGGTCGGGATGAGTTTAAATTGGAATACAACCGTTACAAGCTGAAGCTGGAATACTGGATGGACCATATGGGACTGAAGGGGCTCAGTTTGGACGACGCCGTCGGAGTTGTACGGCAGCACCCTTGGGAACAGTTTAAAGAGTCACAAGCTGAAGGCTACGAGGCAACCAAGAATCCCAAGCTGAGACACCAGAAGAAGAAACAGCATTCCATACGGAAGATTAATGTGGAAGAGCTGAAAGATGACGATGTTAATGACGACAACGACGGCAGTCGAAGCGCAGAAATTAGACGAATAGAGTGAGGGGTTGTGAATGTGTGAATAGTACAACATAGTTTAAAAGTATGTTTTTTTTTTTGGAAGAAAATAGAAGCACTCTTCTGTACAAATATACGTTTAGTGTTTGACATGTTTCATCTGTACTGCATCCCAGAATTCCAGATTGGAAATCCGTTAATTTAAACATAAGTTTACTAGCGAGGTTGGACAAAACGTTCTGTCAACTAACGAATTATTCCTATAACCTATACATTTTTTCTAACTTTAATCCTCCTTCCCAATGTACATTTTGGAATGATGGCTACATGATTGTTACTTCGGTCATTCGAACTGCCTAACGTGATTGGTGCTCATTTTCTAAAGGCGGGGCCAATCTAAAGTTAGGTATTCTACTCTGAAATCTGTGAAAGGGAATCAAGTATCATATAGAACAAAACGTCCAATGTTACACTCATTGATTATGTCATTGAGAATAATCGTCCAATGTAACATGTCCGATCTACAGCGTTTCTACTGAATTTTCAACTTATTATTCACTGACTACATTAAAAATGGTATTGCAAAATGTATAATAATTGTAACATTTAATGTTTACATCAGAATTTCAGAATAAACCATTAAGGGGGGAAATACAAGTAACTCGTCAAAAACTCGACGATTTTCGGAATTTTTTTGTGAGCAAATGAAACAACGCAAACGTTTGGGTTTTTTTTTCATTAAATTGCTTAAATCTTCCTCAACATTTGAGATTTTTTTTTATTGGTGTGTGACCTCTGTGGCTCCTTGGGGTCACATCGGAAGGAGGTCGCCTCCGGTGGGGATTGGTAATTGGCGGGCGTTCTAGAGACCTGAAAAATAGACAAAACTTACTTTTATCAATTGGACCTTATTCAGAAAAGATTCAAGTCATTGATGAGAACTTTTTGAATTATCTTTTCCGCCAATTTGGAAAACACCGTTTCGAGAAAAACGCGTTTAAAGTTTTGGGCTGTGTAAAAACATGATTTCTGGAACTTACGGTTAATCGGCGATACCGGGGCCATAGATCACTCCTTTCTCGTGCTCGTAGCATTTTTTAAAAAGTTTTAAAGTAAAATGAAATGTCTTGCTCTGTTTGCTGCATGATTTCCTTCAGTTTCCCGTCTTATTGTTTTTAGAATTTAATCACTATTTCGAATTGATTTTTATCGTTTCAGATTTCAGATGTAGAGTACATGGGCCTTAAAAGAAAATATTGAAATGCTGGATTTTGGAAACAAATATTTGTAAAAATCTATACTGAACTCACAGACATTGTCTGTGCTGAACTATTCTTTTCCGGGGGTTTTTCAGGCTGGCGGGTATGAAAATCTTTAAATCGATTTATCTCCGTTAATACGGCTCTAATCGAGATTTGGAGCGTTTTTTGGTGTCAAAAAATTTTTTCCTTAAAAACCATGTCCCAACCCAATTTTTTAATCTTTAAATCGATTTATCTCCGTTAATACGGCTCTAATCGAGATTTGGAGCGTTTGGTTGAAGATGCTAATTTCAAATAACAGACTGTAGTGGTAATTTTTATACGATAGATGGAGTAGATGAAAGCATAGAGTTGATAGTTCCGTTAGAGTACGGCAGTGTGAAGATTGTATATAGATATTAGAATAGCGAACTAGGACAACTTTTAAGGAAGGTACAAATCGGTTTTTTCATCTCTCTTTACCAAACTCCCCCTTTGGAGAGGGATGGTGAGGGGTGTCCCCCCCCCCCGCCACCACTGGCAAAAAGACCGTACTCTAACGGAACTATCAACTCTATGCTTTCATCTACTCCATCTATAGTATAAAAATTACCACTACAGTCTGTTATTTGAAATTAGCATCTTCAACTATGTAAATCGTTGACTTCACGTAGAAGTAATACTAAAAACATATAGTCAAAGTACATAACTCTGGATGGGAGCATACCATCAATTACTGTCAATGGTCGAAACGGTTAAATCGATTTATCTCCGTTAATACGGCTCTAATCGAGATTTGGAGCGTATTTTGGTGTCAAAAAAAAATTTCCTCAAAAACCATGCCCCACAACCCATTTTTTTAGGCTGGCGGGTATGAAAATCTTTAAATCGATTTATCTCCGTTAATACGGCTCTAATCGAGATTTGGAGCGTTTTTTGTTGTCAAAAAAAATTTTCCTCAAAAACCATGTCCCAACCCAATTTTTCAGACTGGCGGGTATGAAAATCTTTAAATCGATTTATCTCCGTTAATACGGCTCAAATCGAGATTTGGAGCGTTTTTAGGAGTCAAAAAAAAAAAATTACTCAAAAAAAAATTCCCCAACCCATTTTTTCAGGCTGGCGGGTATGAAAATCTTTAAATCGATTTATCTCCGTTAATACGGCTCAAATCGAGATTTGGAGCGTTTTTAGGAGTCAAAAAAAAAAAATTACTCAAAAAAAAATTCCCCAACCCATTTTTTCAGGCTGGCGGGTATGAAAATCTTTAAATCGATTTATCTCCGTTAATACGGCTCTAATCAAGATTTGGAGCGTTTTTAGGAGTAAAAAAAAAATTTTACTCAAAAACCATGTCCCAACCCAATTTTTCAGACTGGCGGGTATGAAAATCTTTAAATCGATTTATCTCCGTTAATACGGCTCAAATCAAGATTTGGAGCGTTTTTAGGAGTCAAAAAAAAAAATTACTCAAAAAAAAATTCCCCAACCCATTTTTTCAGGCTGGCGGGTATGAAAATCTTTAAATCGATTTATCTCCGTTAATACGGCTCAAATCGAGATTTGGAGCGTTTTTAGGAGTCAAAAAAAAAAATTACTCAAAAAAAAATTCCCCAACCCATTTTTTCAGGCTGGCGGGTATGAAAATCTTTAAATCGATTTATCTCCGTTAATACGGCTCTAATCAAGATTTGGAGCGTTTTTAGGAGTAAAAAAAACATTTTACTCAAAAACCATGTCCCAACCCAATTTTTCAGACTGGCGGGTATGAAAATCTTTAAATCGATTTATCTCCGTTAATACGGCTCAAATCGAGATTTGGAGCGTTTTTAGGAGTCAAAAAAAAAAAATTACTCAAAAAAAATTCCCCAACCCATTTTTTCAGGCTGGCGGGTATGAAAATCTTTAAATCGATTTATCTCCGTTAATACGGCTCTAATCAAGATTTGGAGCGTTTTTAGGAGTAAAAAAAAAATTTTACTCAATAAAAATTCCCCAACCCATTTTTTCAGGCTGGCGGGTATGAAAATCTTTAAATCGATTTATCTCCGTTAATACGGCTCTAATCGAAATTTAGAGCGTTTTAGGAGTCAAAAAAATTTACTCAAAAAAATTTTCCCCAACCCATTTTTTCAGGCTGGCATGGTATGAAAATCTTTAAATCGATTTATCTCCGTTAATACTGCTCTAATCGAGATTTGGAGCGTTTTTTGGTGTCAAAAAAAAATTTCCTCAAAAACCATGTCCCAACCCATTTTTTCAGGCTGGCGGGTATGCAAATCTTTAAATCGATTTATCTCCGTTAATACGGCTCTAATCAAGATTTGGAGCGTTTTTAGGAGTCAAAAAAAAAAAATTGCTCCAAAAAAATTTCCCAACCCATTTTTTCAGGGTGGCGAATATGAAAATCTTTAAATCGATTTATCTCCGTTAATACGGCTCTAATCGAGATTTGGAGCAGTCAAAAAAATGGTCAAATTTGGGTCGTTCTCATTCGCCGGTGATAATTTCAATATTTTGGAATTTCTTCAAAGTTTTCATGTGTCTTATATTAAACGAACTAATTTATAAAGAGGCGACATCTTGAATTATTAATATATTTATTAAATTTATATTAAATTCAGGCTCTTTATTATTCAGGCGACATATTAAATTCAGGCTCTTTAAAACGAGCTTTAAAATGAACGTTATCCCCGCACACGACGTTGCATTGAATAGAGATGCGAGCAGTCTACTTTTCACCATTATTCTGTGTCTACCTTTTTATGGCACAGACCTGTTGGTCCTTTCATTATTCTATTTAAAGCCCTCTAATAACTTTTGACAGACGTCCATACTTTTAGGAAACAATAACATTATAGGTACATAATGGCCGCAGAGGATGGTGAACAAGTTTCTGGTGTGTCCGCCCTATTAAACCAAGGCGCCGAAGGTAAGCTATACATCGGCCACCACAATGGCACTCGCTGCTTGGTAAAGGAACGGTTCTCGAAAAAGTACCGCCATCCGGATCTGGACGTACAACTCACACGGCAACGGATCAAAGCCGAGCATAAAGCATTCGAACGATGTAAAGCGGCCGGAGTCGATACGCCCAAGTTGCTGGACGTAGATCTGACCGGACGAAAGATCTACATGGAGTATTTGGAACAGGCGAAGACGGCAAAACAGCATGTAGATGAGGCGGTTCGAGAGGGAAATGGCGATGGTTCGAAAATTGTACATCTGGCGAAGGAAATCGGTCGAGTAGTGGGATTGCTACATGGTCACAACATTATCCACGGTGATTTGACTACTTCCAACGTTTTGCTGGATCCGGCTGTGCCCGAAGGATTCGTACTTCCCTATCGACTGGTGATGATCGATTTTGGCCTGTCGTACCATTCGCTGAATGTGGAAGATATGGGAGTTGATTTGTACGTTTTAGAACGAGCTCTGCTGAGTGCTCACAGTGAGGTTCCGAAGTTTTTCGAGCTGGTGCTGGAGAGTTACAAAGAGCATAATAATTATAAGGTAAGCGAAACCATAGCCAAGTACGAGGAAGTTCGAGCGCGGGGACGAAAGCGGACCATGATTGGATGAATATTGTTCTCGAAAGTGCTTATACGTGTAACTATTAAAACTTTATTTTGAAATCATAGCTGTAATTAATGATCCGAAATTTCATTTTTTTAAATTTTATTTAAAACATGCACCAACAAATTATAAATCTTTATTTATGTATATATATATATATATATATATATAATTCAAAGACGGGACGGCATTCCTCCAGAAGCCACTATCGTTTCCCCGGTGATGTAACTGGCATCGTCCGACACCAAGAAGGCACAAACCCCAGCAATCTCGGGCGATTGGGCAAATCGTCCCATGGGAATCTGAGCCAGAGCCGTTTCGCGAGCTGATTCCGATTCGTGAAGCTGAAACGAAATCGAAGCTTAGTACACCTAAAATGAAAACATTTTAACTAAATCTGTAGGGGGACTTACGGCTGCAGCAAATTTAGTTTGAACGATTCCCGGTGCGATGCAATTTACACGAATGTTCTCCGCAGCCAGATCCTGACTAGCAGCTTTGGTTAAGCCAAACAGTGCAGTCTTGCTCACGGAGTAAGCTCCAAGTAGCGAAAACGGTTGGAATCCAGCGATCGACGATACAAACACGATGCTCCCATTCTTTCTCTGACGAATGTAGGGCAGAACTTCCTTAGCCAACAGGAACGAACATTTCACATTCACTTCGAAAATTTTATCCCAGGCAGCCTCGCTAGCATCCAAAACACCACCTACTTCTGGATTCACAGCGGCATTCGAAACCAGAATGTCGATTCCTCCATACTTTTCCACAGCCTTTTCGAACAATGCCTTCCGGTCGTCGGCGTTCGCAACGTGACACTTGACCCCCACGACGTCTAAACCCCGCTTGGTCAACTCATTCACCGCCTTGGCTACATTCTGTTCTTTGCGACTACTGACGACGACTTTGGCTCCCTCCTGACCCAGACGTTCCGCGATGGCGTAGCCGATGCTTTATATCAGAGTGAAAAGGCAGTCGGTAGATTGATGTTTTAGTCAAACTAGATTTTTTTTTACATACCCATCGGTGGATGCAGTGACCACTGCAACTTTCCCCTCCAGTCGGAAATTGAGCTTGCTGCACAAATTTCTCTGGCTCATCGTACTAGCACCGATCGGGTTGGTTGAATTTCGAGTAATAGCACGAAGGAACATTCTCACAAGCAATGCAATTTCGAGGTGGTTGTGTGCTTCAGCACCGGGCAGGTATTACTGTGCAGTTTTTGTTATCGTTTGATACGGTTTGATATGAACTTTGGCTGGAGCGATACTTCTATTTGGTTAGTACAAAGCTGGCAAATCAAACTGATTGTGGGGTTGGTTGAATCGAGACTAGGGAGATAACATGCATACAGCCCCAGGCCTATGATGATACGAATGTACATATTATGACACACGAGACAGTTATGCGAATAGCGACGATTTTGTGTGAGTGCGTACTAAATGTATCGCCCGGTAGTTATACTTCCACGGTCGGTGAAACTAACTCAAAAGTAATTAAATTTGGCTCAATTTTGCCAAAATAATATGCTTATTAATGAGTTGAATTTTCCAAGATTTTTCAGGAAAAACTTCTCGAGTATGAGGAAAATCGTGACAGGTTTCCTCAGTCTATAAGTATACAGTAACTTCTTCATGTATGCGGTGGGTGGTACCATTCACCCACCGCTATTTCTCGGCTGGCCTTCAACTAATTGAGCAGATTTTCTGTTGATAACTAGTTTATGGTTGACACTAGTCACATACAACAAATCAACGTAATTGGTTGAAGGACAATTCAGTGCCAACATTTCAAAGGGGCGTAATTGCTTTTGCAAACAATGACTTAAGCCGTCAATTTCTCGCGAATGAAATCTTACCGCTGGTGTCATTATTTTTCATGAGTGAGCTTTTATTCGCGAAAAATCGACGGCTAAAGTCATTGTTTACAAATGCAATTACGCCCCTTTGAAATGTTGGCACTGAATTGAAAAATATTGGTGGGTGAAAGGTACCACCCACCGCATATATGAAGGGACTGCTGTACTCCTAGACAGAGTAATTTGTCATCAATTAATTATTTTCTTCATTTTGAGAAAAATTTTCCCGGAAAAAGTTCGGGATATTTTACTCAGTTTGTGAGCAAATCCACTTTTGGAATAATTGAGTTGGTTTCATCGTCCGTTTGATAAGCTTCTCACGGCCGTTTAAAGAGAGATAGTAATTTCTAGAGAGGGTTTGGACCCTCTCTAGTAATTTCTACTACTCAGATGAATGAGGAATTTCTAAAACTGTTACAGTAGGTAATTCTAAAAATGTAGGTCGCTGATTAACTACTCTTTCATATGAGTAGAAATTAATCTCTTTCTGAGGGGGATGGTATGGCCGTGCTCATTCTTGAACTATTCAAGCTTTCACAAAGCTTGAAAGTACAAAAATAAGCACGGCTTCGTACACGCTATTTAAAAACAACCCAAAATTGGGGCGAATACACCCAGATCGGTCAAACCTGAACCTACCCAAACATGGGTAAACTATTATGGGAGTGATAAGTTACAAATAAATTCACGGCGAATGAGAACGACTCAAATTTGAGTTTAGTTCACTCATAATCGCCAAAAGTGCAGGAACTCAGCGATGAGTAAAATTAGTCTCATGTTTTCCCAGCCTTTTCAAGGATTTTCCAGCGAAAAATTCCCGAATATGAGAAAAGTAAAGATTGGATTCACTCAGTCTATTGGTACTACTCCGAGACTGAATAAAATTTTTCGTAATTTCCTCATTTTCCGGCAGGTTTTAGGTTTTCCACAGGAAACCATGAGACCATGAACTCATCGCTGAGTTCCTGCACTTGTGGCGATTATGAGTGAACTAAATTTAAATTTGGGTCGTTCTCATTCGCCATGAAGAACATCGACTTTGTTCATTTGTCAACTTCCCTAATAAACAAATACCATAAACGAACTGTATCCCGGATGGGTAAACTATCCCACAAATGGTTTGGATGATACCCCGAACACGTCGTTAAGCTCTCTTTTATGGTTATTTTTATCAGGGTTGTCACTCCCAACATAGTTTACCCATGTTTGGGAAGGTTCAGTTTTGACCGATCTGGGTGGATTCTACCCAAATTTGGGTTGTTTTGAAAAAGCGTGTAGATTACTTTGGATGGCGAATGAGAACAACCCAAATTTGAGTTCAGTTTACTTATGAATATAGGGCAAATGAACTCATTGCCATGTACGTGCGTGATTTCTCTCGATTTTCCTCATAATCCAGATTTTTTTCCTGGAAAAGCTCAGCAAATTTCAATATATATGTGAGCAAATCAATTTTTGACCAAATTGTGTCGAATTCTACTCAATTTTGATTTGATCTCATCGTCCGTGAAAAAATGATGACATCAAAGCTTTTATAGAAACGTTTCAGAGTGAGATGAAATTTTTCATCGGAATGAGCAAATAGAATCTAGGATGATATTCTTCAAAATGTCCTATCTGCTTTGATAGATTCTCTTAATCGACTTTCTCTTTTGTTAACCAGGGTTATAAAATATTTCGCGCTATTGTTGCCACATAGAAGAAGGTTCTCTTCTAGCGTCCAGAATGTCAAACACAACAGGCAATGAGAGAGAGAAGGATTAGTATTTTCCATTTAATTCCACTACTTTATTTGCTTATCCTTGACAGATACGCGTATTTCGTCTACAATGTGCAGACTTCTTCAGTGTCTTGTACTAATACTCGACTAGTACAAGACACTGAAGAAGTCTGCACATTGTAGACGAAATACGCGTATCTGTCAAGGATAAGCAAATAAAATAGTGGAATTAAATGGAAAATACTAATCCTTCTCTCTCTCATTATACAGGTATTCCACTAAGACGCCCATATTCATCAGGATACAACAGGCAATGTTTTTGCAATTGAGTTATTAACAAGTCAAAGTCAATAAAGTCGATGGTCGATCACAGCAGATAGGACCTTTTGAAATGTTTGCCTAGAAATGAAACCATGCATGCGTTTCCATCAGAGTATACTATAGGGTAAACCTAAGAGAAGACAATACGGGGCGAAAACGAACCACTTTTCTGTCAAATGCGAACCAGCTCATGATTGGCCGATTTGAAGTGCGTAAAATAGAGATCTAGAATTTATTTTTTCATCAAATTAGGTCCTCTTCTTGCATTAGGTCCAGATTCTCTTCGTCGACTAACTCTTTGCATCCCCACGGCCATGTGAAGGCATTTCCAGCTATTTACAACACACAGTTCGATATAGGAACACGGCGAATGAGAACGACCCAAATTTGAGTTTAGTTAACTCATAATCGCCAAAAGTGCAGGAACTCAGCGATGAGTAAATTTGTCTCATGGTTTCCTGTGGAAAACCTAAAAAATCTGCAGGAAAATGAGGAAATTGACGAAAATTTTATTCAGTCTCGGAGTAGTACCAATAGACTGAGTGAATCCAATCTTTACTTTTCTCAAATTCGCGAATTTTTCCCTGGAAAATCCTGGAAAAACCTGGGAAAACATGAGGCAAATTAACTCATCGCTGAGTTCCTGCACTTTTGGCGATTATGAGTGAACTAAACTCAAATTTGAGTCGTTCTCATTCGCCGTGTATACTTTCAGCTCCTCCTTATCTGTCGTATAAAAATTACCACTTCAGTCTGTTATTTGAAATTAGCATCTTCAACTATGTAAATCGTTGACTTCACGCAGAAGTAATACGGTAATACTAAACATATAGTCAAAGTATTATAATATTTTTACTACTGAAATGACAACTTCAATCCCAAGATTCCATGTTCAGGGAAGGCCTGTCGATGGATAGGGACTTCCCTACTGAAGTTCAGGGAAGTCTTGCCATAATTCAGGGAAAGCTTGCCGAATTTCAGGGAAGTCCTGCTGAAGTTTAGGAAAGTCCTTCCGATGTTCAGGGAAGTCCTGCCGAAGTTCAGGAAAGCCCTACCGAAGAACAGGGAAGTTCTGATGAAGTTCAGGGAAGTCCAGGGAAGGGCTGGGGAACTTCAGGGAAGGTCTGCCAATGTTCAGGGTACGCCTGCCGAACTTCGGGAAAGTTAAGGGAAGTCCTGCCGTAGCTCAGGGAAGCCCTGCCGAAGTTCAGGGAAGTCCTGCCATTTCAATTCTTTGAAATCAGGGAAGTTCTGATAAAGATCAGGGAACTCCTGCCGAAGTTCAGAGAAAGTCTGCCAGAGCTGGGAAAGTCCTGCTGAACTTCAGGGGAGTCCTGCCATTTCAATTCATGGATGTTGGTTTAATTTCATGATGGTAGATCCAAGATGGCGAATGATTTTGGCGAATGGTGGATTTAAAATTGTAAGTCTTTGAGGAAATGTTCGATCTTTCTAAATATAATACTGTTGTATACTTATAAAAAACTACCCTATTGAAATTGGAATTTTCAATTCCAAAATGTTGGATGTCTTTCAAAATTTTAGATTAACGATGGTGGGTCTTCGAGAAAATAGTGGAACTTCCAATATCATAGTATAGTTATAATTATTCCAATATTGATATAACACTTACAATTTCAAGATAGAGGATGAATTTCAAAATGGTGGATTCAAAATGACGGTTAATTAAAATAATGGTGGATCCAAGAAGGCGGATGAATGTCAAAATAGTGGGTTCAAGATTCCGGGTCTTTCATGAAAAAGTCGACCATCCTAATGCCGCGGACACACTTGGATGACAAACTATGAACATGAGTATTATTTGTATAATAATTATGAGTGGTACTATACAACAACTATACACAAACTATACAAGTGTGATCAGGGATGTGATTATACAAATAATGCTTAAGTTCATAGTTTGTCATACAAGTGTATCCGCGGCATAAGTGTAATATTGATGCATAGTTTTGATGATTCCACTATTGAAATGGCAATTTCAATTTAAGATGTCGGTTTATTTTTACATTGGAGAATCCTAGATGGCGGATTATTTTCAAAATGGTAGATCTTTGATGAAATGTTCGGTCTGTCTGTATTCCATACTGTTGTACAGTTTTGATAATTGGACTATTGAAATAGGACATTTCAATACCAAAGGGTGAATGATTTTAAAAATGGTGGATTAAATCATGTCAAGAAAATTCGAAGTTTATTGTTTACGTTCCTGTTGAATGTACTAACATGCAATAATTTCCTCTTTGAAGAACTTTGATTGGTTATCTCCAATGAAAATCAAG